TTAGCTTACTGCCTTATTACACACTCGTGGTATTATCTCCTGGTACAATTTTATTTTTCTCATGCAGGTGACCAAACTTATTTTATTGTAGCTATTGTTTTTATTTGCTTTATATTATTTGGGGGTAGCTTTTCTTCATCATGAAGCCCTTAAGTTTTATTTTACTGCTTTTAGTAATTCCCATTAACACATGGAGATAAAATGCCTTTGTTAAATCACCCCAGTCAATAGCTAATACCAGTAATTTGCCTGAACGTTGGATCTGTCACCCCTCTCCACAATCTGGACATCAGAAGTCAGATCCATTAGCATTCCCTACATTGAATTAGTTTTATATCCAATGCTACTGCTACCCTCAATATCACCTTAAAGTGAGCATACGTTAGACTATGGCATCCTCCTGCATTATTAACTCAACCTTAGGTAGCATGCTTTCATTAACCCGTAACATCTGACTAGGCCATGGAATGCTTGAGAGCTTTCTTTGCAAGATGCAGGGTGTTCATGATTGCTGAATTAGCTATCTGTTCAACCATGGAAAATTCTCTAGATATACTGTGATTTTATCAAGGCAAAAGTATTACCTCACTGCATAAAGAATGACTCATTCCCCTTCTGTATGACTCTCTGGGACTCCCTAAGGATGGGAGAGTTACCTATTTCTAACAGTTCTTTAACAGAACATTGGCATAACCTAGTTAATCAAAAACACTCCCTTACCACACAATTTTAACAGAAATAACATGATCTGTGCTCCTTATACAGAGCTCTGTGAATGCTGTGGTTAAGGCACTGGGCTGCTAACCAACAGTCAGCAATTCAAACCCACCAGCCATTCCACAGGAGAAAGATGGGACAGTCTACTTATGTAAAGATTTAGTCTTGGAAACCCTATGGGGGTCACCATGAGTCAGAATTGACTCCATAGCACTCGTTTGGTGCTCCTTATGGATATAAATTTTTATGCAGAGGATCAGATTATGCCACTAAAAAAAAAAAAAAGACCAAGGCCAAGTAATGAACCCTAAGCTGGGGCATTACCCTACTTAGATGGATGGAACATGATGGGCCAATGTACTTTAGGCCTCTTGCTGTTGCTGTTATTTGCCGTCGAGTCGGCCCCGACTCATAGCGACCCCTCCTTTGGTTTCCGAGGCAGTTATCACTACGGAAGTAGGATTGCCCAACCTTCCTTCCGAGGAGTGGCTGGTGGGTTTGAACTGCCAGCCTTCTGGTTAGCAGTCAAGTGCCTTAGGCACTACGCTACCAGAGCTCCGTTAGGCCTCTTAGGGATTCCTTTAAATATCTATTCCTATGAAGAACACACACTGGACCAGTGATTTCAAAATATTTGCCCAATATAAGAGGGAACTTACAAAACCTACTGAAAATCTAACAGAGAAGCCTGGAGACAGATGGGTGTTCCTCCAAGTCCTTTTATCAATTTCTCACATCCTTGAACTCAAGAGATCAATTAGCAATTTACCTGCTACTGTGGCACAGCTAACGACAGTGCTGATGGAATAACAGCCCATAAGAAATATTTAGTTCCTAAGGTTGTCTTAGATCACAGAATAGTTCTTGATTTCCTTCTAGCACAATGAGGAATCTGTGCTATCACCAGCATCTCCTGTTGTACTTGGATAAATGCTTCAAGAGAAGTAGAACAAAACACTAGATCCACCAGAGCGCTACCTGGCTTCTTTCAATACCCTCTATGGCTGACTCCCCTTTTCTTGATACTTTTAGCTGGTTACCTAATGGCATTGGTTCTTGGTTACATTTTGTATTGCAAACAGGTTTATCTTGATAATTTTAATTACTTATGACTAAGCATATTATGAAATGTCTCATGCCTATAACCAAACTACAAAATCCCTTGCTATGCAAAGTTATGTACATTTCAAAAACTGTACCTTTAAAGAAAACTGATTGCACACCTTGAGTTAAGCCTTCTCTTGATGCTAAGTTCTTCCTCCAAGTATGGCCTCACTCCTATGTACCCCAAAGGATTACAAAAGTGGAATGTCTAAGCTATGGCATAGTGAAAAGCCCACTTAACTGGATGGTACCTGGCTGCCACTAATAACCATTCCTTTAAGTAGGTAGTCTGAAGTATTATAATGGTGACCAAAGACTCTCTCCAGAGATTCATGATCAACTCGGGGGAGTGTGTGAGAATACTCTAAAACTGAGGTGCTTGAAATGACTGAGAGACTGACTGACCTAGGTCTGAATCAAAGCTGTTTTTCCAAATGAAATCTTAGCTTGTCCTAAATCCTCTTTCTACCTTCCTAAGAATTCCCTCCCACTGCCACTGAGTCAATTCCAACTCATAGAGACTCCCATTGCCTTTCCAAGGCTGTAAACTTTACAGAAGTAGATTGCCTCATCTTCCTCCCGCAGAACAGCTGGTGGGTTTGAACTGCCAACCTTCTGGCTAGCAGCCAAATGCCTTACCCACTGCACCACTAGAGCTCCTTGCCTTCCTTTGTTGTTGTTGTTATATGCCGTCGAGTCGGCCCTGACTCATAGCAACCCCTCCTTGGGTTTCTGAGACAGTATCACTACGGAAGTAGGATTGCCCAACCTTCCTTGCGAGGAGTAGCTGGTGGGTTTGAACCACCAGCCTTCTGGTTAGCAGTCAAGTGCCTTAGGCACTATGCTACCAGAGCTCCTTCCTTAGAACTTATGATTTAGAGACTTGAAACATGTAACATAAAACTTTAACCACCTTCTGTAAACAGTGGAGAAGGCAAGGATGTTTCTTATGAAGAAATGTTTGTCAGAAATGTTTACCAGGATGGTCTTGGGAGAATACTTACGCAGAATGCCCAAGAAAGAAACATATATGTATTTCAGAAAATCTCTTGCTAGGTTAATTCTAGGAAGTCTACATTAGCTGGACTAGATTAAATAACTTTACAAAATAGATTATGTATCTTTACAAGAATTTAACTTGCTATGTCTTGAGACTACATGTAATATCAAGACCTCGTGATTATAATAGTCATGTACTCCTTTCCCCATTTTTCTGTATGACTTATTTATACAGAATTATATATATACAGAAATTACAGAATGTTGAACACTTTGTGATCTTGATTGCAATGTGTTGCCCAGCCCACGCTGTCACCACACAATAATTCTTTGCTTTCCCTCTTAACACAGTGTAAGTTCTGTTCAGTGCTGTGGCAAGACCCACTACCACATATTAGCCCGAACTCCAGGGAAGAGAAGATTAAGTTCAATTGTGTGGCCAATGATTCAATCATTCCTTTATAATAAAATCTCGATAAAAACTCTGGACACCAAAGCTTGGGTGAGATTCTCTGATTGACGATATTCTTTTTACATCGATGTGCCAAGAGATTGATGCACCTGATTCCTTGCAAAGAGGACAAGGAAGCTTTGCGTTTAGGACCTCCTCCTCCTCACCCTATGCATCTTTCCCTTTGGCTGGCTCTTTTTGCTATAATAAAACTGTAATAAGTAGAGTGCTTTCCTGAGTTGTGAGTCATTCTAGTGAATAATTAAGTGAACCTGAGGGGGTAGTGGGAACCCCTGAATTTGGAAACAGCCATGAGAAGCAAGGGTATCCTGGGAACCCTTGAACTTGTGGCTAGTGTCTGAAAGGCAGTCTTGTGGAGGGCTGTAACCTTCAACTGTGAACTTTGGTCTAACTCTGAGTAGTTGAGGTCAGAAGTCATTTTGCTGAGTGACTGTGTAAATGATTAAGATACTCTGTGACAGTATCTAGAGAAACACAATGGAGTCTTTAGGGAAAAGAAAGTCACATGTTTGTGACTAAAATAAATGGTTGTCCATTAAAAAATTAAAAGGTTAACTTTGATTCCATTTATAGTCAATGTTTCTTGCTTCCACTAAATAAATTTGGCCCCTGCACAAAAACACACTCAATCTCTCCTTCTGAAAAACTATTCTGTTTAATAGTGCACTTCATTTATACTACAGGATGAGCAGGACTAGGGAAACATAATGAAAATCATCCCTTCAGTCAGGAAAACTCAGGTAAATAGTCCTGCTGCCAGGCTCAGGCCTGAGCCTTCCTCCTCTGGGGCTTTGCTCTTTATTTGTATTAATCCTTGGCTGCTGAAGAGTCAGAGGTGGAGTTAGGAGAGGTCTGGGGCCAGATGTCATAAGTGAGAGAGGGCAGAGCTAGCTACTTAAGCGCCTTAAAAGCATCCTAAGAACCTAACGGTTTGGATTAAATCACTTTTATCACAGGCATGGTGATAGAAAGGGGGGAGGAAAGGAAATAGATGCCAATGCTAAATGCTTTTGATACTCTACCCTCAGGCTGATTAGTTGGATTTCCTAGTCATAGTACAACAAGGAAGGACAACGGGTCCTCTTACAACACTGCTGACTGCTGTTAGAAAATTGTACTAGCTGCTTCAAGAGCCCTAAAGGACAGAGACATCATACAAAACCTTTCTTGGGATCTTATGTCTCCCTCAATAAAATATGTATCTCAGCACAGGATTTCCATAATTAATGAAATTATGAAACAAAAAAGCAATTCCCTGCCAAAGCTTAAAGCTTTGAAATACAGGTTCCATTTCCCCTTCCTATCAAGTAACAGGACTCAGAACATTCTTTCCACTGTCTTCTGTGCTGTTAACTCCAACTAGAGGAATCCTTGGAACTTTTTTCCTACTGTGCTTCCATGCTCACCTTGGAAAGAAAGGCTCCTCTGGTGTGAGAAAAAATGGTTTAGTGCAAACTTTCCAAAATGGATTAGTTCCAGAGCTTCCCTCTAATCTCAGCACTTAAGTCGGTTGCTTGCCTCATAATTTTTAAAGGCTGGAATCATTCTGGGGAAGTTCACTAGGTTGCTGATCACTGCTGAATAATTTTCCCAATTGACCAGTTGCTAAAGTGAAAGGTTTGAAGGGATATACCCTAAGCTGTCTATAAGTAAGGCAGGAGCTCTTTAGATTCAGGAGAAGTGAGGAAAACAGGTGTGTTGCTCTCTTTCATGTAGACTCTCTGATGTTTAATTCAGCAGTAACTCTGAGAGAACTTTTGCTTATACTCATTACATTCAAAGGCTTCTCTCCAGTGTGAATTCTCTGATGGCGAACAAGAGCTGAGCTATACCTGAAGGCTTTCCCACATTCACTACATTCATAGGGATTCTCCCCTGTGTGGATTCTTTGATGCTGAATAAGGCCTGAACTATAGGTAAACTTCCCTCCACATTCCATACATTCGTAGGGCTTCTCTCCAGTGTGGATTCTCTGGTGCTGATAGAGGTGTGAGCTCTGGCTGAAGGCCTTCCCACACTCATTACATTCATAGGGTTTCTCTCCAGTGTGAATTCTCTGATGATGAATAAGGGTGGAGCTCCTACTGAAGGCCTTCCCACATTCATTACAAGCATAGGGTTTCTCTCCAGTGTGGATTCTCTGATGATGAGTAAGGGTGGAACTCCAACTAAAGGTTTTTCCACATTCAGTACATTCATAAGGTTTCTCCCCAGTGTGGATCCTCCGATGTAGAATAAGAGCAGAGCTACAACTAAAGGTCTTCCCACAATCATTACATTCATAAGGTTTTTCACCAGTGTGAATTCGCTGATGTTGAATAAGATGTGAGCTTTGGCTGAAGGCCTTTCCACATTCATTACATTCATAAGGTTTTTCCCCAGTGTGGATTCTCTGATGTTGAATAAGGTCTGAAGTTCGATTAAAGCTCTTGCTACATTCATCACACTTATGGGGTCTGTCTCCCATAGGAATTCTCTGATGTGAAATAAGGTTGGAAGTCACAGTGAAGCTATTCCCAAAACCATTCTCACTTCTTTCTCCCATGGGGGTTAGCTTTTCCTCAGCTGTTATTTGATGAAACTCTTTGATCTTCCTCTTCAACCTTTCTCCAGAGGAGTTCTCTAGCTGCCGCTTTAGACTTACTTGTTGTTCATAGGCTTTTTCAAACTTAAGACCCTGAGAAATATCCTTTTGGAATCTTCCCAATAGCACCCCATGTGATCCTGTATCTTCAGAAATTTCTTGATCATTCTCACTTCTGTTCTCTCCATCTGGCACAATAAAAAATGCAAATGTCACTTGTTCCTTGAAGAACGAATAAAACCCCAGGACAAAATAATCCAGTGACCAGCATTTACAATGTTAAAAGTATGTGCCCTTACATGCCTGCAAAAGAGCCCTGCCCAGTATGTGTGTCCAAAAAAAAAAAACAAACTCACTGTCGTCGAGTCAAATCCGACTCATAGCGACCCCTCCTTGGGTTTCCAAGGCGGTATTTGTATGAAGTAGATTGCCCAGAAGTAGATTGCCCAGTCTGTCTTCTGAGAAGTTGCTGGTGGGTTTGAACCACCAGCCTTCTGGTTAGCAGTCAAGTGCCTTACACTATGCCACCAGAGCTCCTAGCATGTGTATAGCTAAGGCAAAATAAGATAACTGGGCTGAGGAAACAGGGAAAGAGAGACAAGCAGCAAAATCAAGGAGAAAAGAGCTAGAGAAAGTAGAAAGAAAGCTGAGTATGTAAGGAGGGTGGGATGAATCAGGCAGAGAGGCAGGAAAAGACTAACTTAATGAAGTGAAAAAGTCTTCAGTGAAGTCAGATAGTACAGGTATAATTTTGGGAATATGATGATTGCAAGAATAGTTTTGAAACAATATGGGAGAGTAAACATAAGAAACTAAACAGGTGGGCAATGAGAAACGGTCATAGAGCAGAGAGGCACAACAAGGTGAGAACACTAGCAATCCAACAGTCCAGGTGAGGAGAACAATCACATATGTACTTGGGCCACATATGCCAAGTCCACAGAAATCGGCAAACTACAGAGTTTAGTCCCTCTCTGAGTCCTGGGCCTAGAAGGCTATGCTCATGTGGACTCATCCATGTGACAGCAATCTCAGCTTTGATGTCTTTATTTTTACTACTTTGGAGTTTCTAAAGAGGAATTCAGACATAGAGAATAAATATAAAAGATCTAGAAAGTCAGCATTTTTAGTTCATCAATATTTTAGAAAATAAAGACAGGGCAACAAGTGTTAGGGACAGAAATAGCTGTTTCTCCCTCACCTGAATAGGTACCTCTCAGGACCTCTCTGTTCTCAGTTCCCTTCAAAACCCAGGACCCTCGGCTCTTCCTTTCACTCCAGCTGAGAGATCATGTCAGGATTCAGAAATGGGAATCCTGCTCATGGGGAAAGACACGGGACAGGAGGTTTATACTGCTCATTCTGAGCAGTTAACAGAGCTCAATCCCAGACCCAGGATCTGCAGAGAACAGAGAGCTATACTGGGAGGTCTCACATGGGAGTTAGGAGGACTTCCTGACACTGCTTGAGAAAAGTTCTCACTGGAAGTAGAGTGAGAGACAAAGAATTAATAGTCCACATCCTAAAGTTTAAGAAGCTAATTTCTCCCTGGAACAAGTTTAAATATCTACAAGAACAGCAATTACACTAGGCCTTGAACAAAGCAGAACGTCCCTATAGGTAATCACATAGAGAATCAGGGAGTTAAAGAGTCCCAGAATGTTCACTTGGGCACAGAGCAGTACCCTACATGTTCAGGGATCTCAATATGCTAATCATTTGGAAAAGTCTCAGGATTACATTTTAAATCCTGAGAATAATATGGAAAAGTACCAAATTTGCAGTTAAAAGACCAAAGCCCCAGTTCTCCTACTCACAAGCTATATGACCACACATAAAAGCATTTAAGAGCTCTGACCACATTTTCCTCCTCTATGAAACGAAGATAATACTAGCTACCTTGACTGCTTTACTGTGAGGAATAAATTAAGACTGTATCTGAAAGTTCTTTATAAACTGAAAATTACTCTACACACAAGTTACTACTATTGTTCTTAGAATTTTCATAGACTACGTCAATCCTACACTTCAGTGACTAGACTATTACTAGTAAACAAGGAAACACACACCAAGGGAGTTTTGTTGAGAAAACTTAACTCCTTACCCAGTGAGAATACATTCCCATAATTCTCCAGCATCACATCCCTATAGAGGTCCCTCTGAGCAGGTTCCAACCGCTTCCACTCCTTCCGGATAAAGTACACAGCTACATCCTCAAATGTCACCAACTCCTGAAACAACAAGTCCTTGCATGCAATTTCAGGGTGAGGGATGGAACTGGCAACACCAAAAAAAGAGTTTGGGATGGAAATGAATGATGAGTATTTGAAAAGTAGGGGAAAGTGGGTGAGGGAAAAGCTCCATTATTCAGCAGGAATTTCCTGATACAGGAAACATGGTTTACATCACTGAATAGGATGGCACTGCACAAAAAACTTCCATAAAGGGGCAGGAAAAGAAGGGTAAAGGGACCCATATCTCACCTGGGACTTGGCCTTTAGGAGTGCAGCTGCCAACATTTCATTTCCTAAGCTGTCCTTGTCAGAAAAGGCAGGAACTTTTGAAGACGGAAGAGCTGATGGACAATAACAGGGCCCATGAGTGAGTCTACTTTCTGACCAGCTGAGCTCCAGATCCATAGAAAACTAACTCATGGAGTCCTGGAACAACCTAGGACCCACTCCCTCTTCCATTTCAAGTTTGCTTCCTCTGTGGCTACAGCGGTCCATGTTGCCCGAGGAGGAGGAGAGACACCCACAATCCTGTTCACTCTTGGTTTTCCAGTCTGCAACAGGTCCCTTTCTTTCTCTCCAGTTACTCTACTCTAAAAGCAATGTTCTGAGTGCTATCTTTGGCTACTGCACTTGGATAAAATTTGTCCATGTGTATTGTTGTCCAGTCTCCCAAGTTTGGGTAGAAACATGTCCTTCCCATCATTTTTTCACCTCTCTGAATTCAAACTCTTAGACTAAAGGAAAACAAGAACTTTACCCTAGCCCTGACTGGGAATATAATACCCACAACTCTTCTCTTTCTCCATTCCCAGATCAAATCTATAAAATATGAAGACTTCCTGTTTCTGTGCTAGATCACTTAACTTTTCTGTAATTCTTAGGTTTATACATATTTTTCCCCTAGCAATGTATCTCAGACTCTAAACCCCTAGAGATTCTATTAGAGTCTGTAGAGTCATACATAAAACTAATTTTTCCAGATAAACATGAGAACAATACCCATTAAGACTGAAAATTACTTCAAAGTCAGTGGCACTGTCCACGAAATCAAAATACAAATGGTTTACAGTTAGAAGGTGCCTGGGAAATGGAATTCCATAATTGCCACAGTTTTCTTAGTTCTACATAAGGTACCCACAGCCATTCAAAAACGCCTCAGTTATAAAACCCATCAAGCTGTATATTAATTATCGGTTTCTGTCAGCCTCCCCAACTAGGCTGTGAGCTCCTGAATGGCAAATATCAATGTCTTAGCCATCTTTGTATTCTAGTGCCTAACCTAGTATCCCCACCACTCGCATGTCAGCTTACCTGTCACTTTGAGGACTAAGGTGCGCGTAACCCAAGCCATGGTATTTTCAATCACTTCATATGCATGTGAAAGCTGGACAATCAATAAGGAAGATTGAAGAAGAATCGGTGCCTCTGAATTATGGTGTTGGGGAAGAATATTAAATACACCATGGACTGCCAGAAGAATGAACCAATCTGTCCTGGCAGAAGTATAGCTGGACTGCTCCCTGGAAGGGAGGATGACGAGACTCTGTCTCACGTACTTTGAACACATTATCAGAAGGGACCAGTCCCTGGAGAAGGACATCATACTTGGTACAGTAAGGGGTCAGCAAAAAAGAGGAAGACCTTCAATAAGATAGACTGACACAGTGGCTGCAACAATGGGTTCAAACACAGCAACAATTATGAGGATGGTGCAGGACCAGGCAGTGTTATGTTCTGTTGTGCACAGGGTCACTATGAGTCGAAACTGACTTAAGAGCACCCAACAACAACAACAAAGCTAGTATCTGGTGAATGAGAGTACACTACATGATTGCTGAATAAATTAATAAAAGAGTAAATGAATCTCTACTCCTCACCACTCTCAAGCAGGGCCTGAGGTTCCCGAGATACATGATCAGCATGAGTTTCCATGGATAGGGCTAGAAATTCCGGCACGCTAATCTCCTATGTGCAGACTCAGCAGGAAGCAGGTTTTGAATGAGAATGAGGAAGCCCTGCAGAAGCAAAGGTCCAAAGTTCAATAACAGTAATGATAAAAACAAACAAACAGGAACAACTCCTGAATACAGAAAGAGGGGACCTAGCATTTCAGTCAGTGCCCAGGAACAGTGAGAGAACACAGAACAACTGGGCCTTTTAAACCCTGGTGAAAATATACAGCTATTCCCACAAAAAAAGTCCAAGCGCCGCAACAATATACCACCTGCAGCTCCCCCACACCGTTTGAGTACTACTTATAAAAACAAAAAATGAGGACCATCCAAACTCAAAGTGAAAAATATCAGGTGCACTGCAAGGGTTACATACTGTAAAATGAAAAAGGTAAACTATAAAAGAGTACATCTCTATATACTGAAAAAATGTACAAGTATCATATCCACTTTTTTAAATATTTGGAGTAATTGACAAAGCTAACTATTAAAAGAAGAGAAACAAAAACATACTTCATAAACATCTGAATGGGTAGGAGAGAAAAACTTTTGCCAACTGAAGCAGCAGATGAGAAATCAAATAAGTACTGCATTGGGCAAAGCTGCTGCTAAAGCCTTCTTTAAAGGGTTAAAAAAACAAAGATGTCACGTTGAGGACCAAGGTGCACCTGACCCAAGCCATGGTATTTTCAATTGTCTTATATGCACGTGAAAGCTAAAAAATGAGTAAAACCAAAAAAGAACTGTCATATTTGAACTGTGGTGTTGTCAAAGAATACTGAATATACCATGGACTGTCAGAAGAACAAACGAATCTGTCTTGAAGATATACAATCAGAATGCTCCTTAGAAGTGAGGATGGCAAGACTCTGTCTCATTTACTTCGGACATGCCATCAGGAAGGACCAATTGTTGGAGAAAGACCTCATGCTTGCCAAGCAGAGGGTCAACAAAAAAAAGGGAGACCCTCAAAGTGATGGGTTGACAAAATGGGTTCAAACATGACTGTGAAGATAGTGCAGAACTGGGCAACATTTCATTCTCTTATATGTAAGGTCGCATTTGATTCATCGGCACCTATGAAGTGTTACCCTCAGAGGAAGAGATCAGAGAAATTGCTGATTTTAATAATCCTGGAGACACAACACCTCTGTCTCACCGAGGCCAGGGCCATCTTGTAAAACAAATTCCTCCTGCCCACTAAGACAATTTTCTGCTTCATCTCAGCCAAAGATGGGATATTGTTGAGGAACCTGGGGCCTTTTTCTGTTCCTTGGGGCAGTCTCATTAGACAGTGAAAATATAGACACCTACCAGGATCTACAAGACCAGTCCTCGTAGCCTTCATTTTACTTCTCTAACAATACATTTCCTTAGATCAGAATGTCAGTCCCTGTAGCAGGGACCAATGCTTTTTAAAAAACAGAAGACTCTATGTCATTTCATTTGTATTCCAACTAACTTCTCTTTTGCTATAATAATTGAAAGAGGCTTGTTCTCTGTGGCTCTTACAGATAAAATGTAACATTAGTACCCAGACTAAGATTTGCATCTCAAAAATGAAGTTTTTACTTCACACTTGATTGCTATAGCAAGAATCAATGTATCTAGAATAGGTCCAGCATCCAGTAATGTCCTTATATACTTAGGCAAGAGATGGGGAAAAAAAATAAACAAATACCCTGGGTTTTGTCTATCACCCTCTCTTTATCTGTTTGGTCATATTATAAACATCAGTTGACTGCCAACTACATTCTAAGATATTATTGCAAGGAACAAAAAATGAGAAATGGAAAAATATTTGTTTCATCACCACAGATTGTTAAAGGAGCTCTGGTGGCATAGTGGATAAGGCATGTGGCTGCTAACCAGGTTAGAGGTTCAAACCTACCAGCCGCTTCAAAGAAGGAAGATGGGGCAATCTACTTCCATAAAGCTTTAGAGCCTCAGAAGCCCAATGGGGATCGCCGAGTCAGAATCAAGGCAGTGGCAGTGAGTTTTGGTTTTTTTTTTCCAGACAGACTGTTCTTTTATAGGCATAAAAGGGGGTGGGGTTGTCTGAATTAATCCGTAGGAGTCACTAAGAGTTCAGAGAACTCAATTCTTTGCACAGCAAGCGGGTCCAGAAGCTCAATAGCAATAATGTTACATAGACGGAAGGCAGGGAATCAGGCATGACCCAGACCCACTGGTAATCCAAATGACACTCTGAATCTTCACCATCACCTCTGGCTGGGGCCCTTCAACTCTGTTCCAGCCATCTTTTCTCCCTATCAATCACTTCTATAATTTCTACTTATAAACTGACACCCCCAACAAATCAGCTCTCAATCCAAAGTTTCCTTAGTATGGAAAGTCTGAGGCTCTTGTCTCCAGAAGGAAAAGGGAACAATCCCCCCTTCATAGCTGGGTTAACCAAAGCTGGAACTCAAAGGCATATTGTTAAGAACAAGTCCCCAGTGTCTGGATCAGTATTCAATGTTTCTCACAGAAAACAAAACCTCCACTGCACCCCCACAGCTTCAGGTCCACGCAGGGTCCTTTGTCTGCTCTGCTGCCAACGCCACTCCCTGGAGCTGCTCCTGGGAGACAGAGAGAGTCAGGTAACAAGAGCAAGTCATGGAAAGCTTTACCTGCTGGATTCCTTCCTTCTTTGGGGTTAGTCCTCTAGGCCAACGTGGCAATTATTGGAATTTGGCAGCCTCTGTTCAAGTTTCTGGGAATTCTGACCTTCGTTGATGTCACAGCTGTATGACTGGAAAAGAAGGGGGGGGGGTGTTAAAAACACTTGTATACTTCATTTCTAACCTAGAACTTTAAGGGGTAAAAAAAAAAAGCTAATTAACATATGCTTAAAAAATACTGATTAAGACCACAACTGGCATTTGTATTGCACCTGTAGAGGGTTCTCCAGTCCAACCTCCCTCCTTGTGTAAAAAACTCAAGACCCTAAGGTTCAGCAGCTAACTTGCTAGACACTCTCAAGTACTTCAGCAGGGAGTCCAGTTTCATTGTTGCACACTTGAACCCTTAGAGAGGCCCTCACAAGGGTACGCTGAGAATCTTTCCCCTTGAGCCTTCAATGAAGGAATCTTCTCTCACAACTATTCACCAAGAACTTGAAACCAAATGACGCTCACCCTCCAGAGACTTCTCTTCTTGAAGTTAAATACCTGTAGTTCCCTACTAGTTCCAGAGATTTCTGACTCGTCATTCTGCTCCTGTGGAGTTTACTCATGTCCCTCACCGCGTCAACACTGGTCTGTGTTGAATCACGCTTCTAAAGTAGATCGGGGGGTGGGGGAGCCAATGGAAAACGGGAGCCAGAGACACTTGTAGCTCCCCCTAAAAGACTGGATGGATTGGGCTCCCGCGGGACTCTCTCTGGAATCTGGGTTTGCACCCCCTCCCAGACCTCGTTCTAACTGCGCACACTTCCTAGAATTACTCGTTCTCTGATCCTGAGACCCAAGTCAAAATGGATTTCTTCTCCTGCTCGGTAAGTAACTGTATGGACGTCCAATAAAACACCTCGAAGAACTACTAAGTTAGGGTCGCTGTCCTCAGCTGTTTTAAAGGGAACGAATGTTGCCGTTACTGGAACTTTTCAAATGCTCCAGATGGGCACTTCTGATGAAAAAAAAAAAAGAAGAAGAACCGGAGCCCCTTCCCCGCCCTCCCCGCGCAGGGGTCCTCTCCCGGAGGAGGGAGGTCCCTGGGGAAGCGGAGCTTCTCACACTTCGGAGTCCAGCAGCGGGGGATGCAGAGACGCCTCCCCTCACGCTGCTCCGGGAGGTCTGGGGCCCCGCGCGGGCCGCAACGGCACGGACACCACCCCCTTCCCCGGCGA